TGGCCAGAAGGATGAGCGCAACAGATCAACAAACTACTCTCTTACTTACATAATTAAATGCTGAGTCGGATGTCGGGACAGTGTCCACTTGCGATCCTACATGCATTCTGCCCTACATACCAAACTTGGGACCAGCAATGCTTTCGCCTACATCATACCAAGCTTTTGACCAGCATTGCCGTACAATGCGTGCGTATCTTTTCTACATACCAACCTTCTGACCTGACGTGCGTATGTTCTTCGACATACCAAACTTGTGAGGGTGGAGAATGAGCAAGCAATAGGAAGAGAGTGGCTGCTGCTTGGCCTGCGAAGCTTTCAACCTCAGCATAAAGAAGCCTTGTAGGGGAGGGGTTGCGGCTCTGACCTCCGAACACCTTACTCGCCAACAAAAGACAGACAATATAAGATGCGGAATCAACGGAACAACAAAGAGGATGGGGGTGGCTGCGGTTTGGCATGCGCAACTCTAATACCTCGAGCAGAGAAACAAAGTGGCACGGCTGCGGTTTCGACCTGCGAACTGCCACCCCGACGAACAACAACATACAGGCTGATTCCAATTACTCGGAGGCTGAGCATGCATTTGTTGAAAAAGTCACAGGTCGTTGACGTTCCCTGTCAAACTGATTTGGTTATTGACTCTTTTCGTCCCTTTCATCCAATTTGCTCTTCATCACCCCTTCACTTCACCGTCTCAGCTTTTTCTGCTCTTTCCATTTCATCATTATCGAGCTTTTGTCTTATTTTTTTTGTTTTGTCGGCTTGCCCACTACGAAAGTGCAGATGAGTCCTTTCGTCCTTTTGCTCCATGTTCCTTTTTCATCAGCAACTCATTTCGCTGTGTTTTTTTTTGCCTTTTCATTTCACGGTCACAATTTGTCATTGGATGTGTGTGCAAGGGATGGCATGGTTGATTGCAAGTGTTTGCGACGTTTGCAAATGATTGACTCCTTTGTCTCTTTTCCACCATGTTCTGTTTTTCATCACGCTTTCATTTCACTGCAGCTCAGTTTATTCAGTTTATGTGAGGCAGGGGGTGCCAAAAGGGCAGCAGTTTTGACACCAATCCTCGTGATGGGTTCGTGGACGCACACCTGCAAAAGCCAGCCCAAACTACCGGTAAACAGCTGTGGATTCACAGTCTGACAGTAGCCTCAAAAAACGAATCCGATCTGACAGAATGAGAGTTTGAGTTGTGTGGCAAGAGATGCGGTCATAGACTTGCGAACCCATGTTAGAGCTCCGGCATATCGAGGGTCGTTCCAAGCGTGTGCATGTGTGTTTGCGTGTGGGTGCATGCTTATATACAGCTTATATACATGCATAAGCGCGTCGTGTGCGTGCGGCATGGGCGAGGATATGTGCTGACGCGCTACGACGGCTCGAAGGACCAGTTACATAGTGCGACACCAAACTTGTGTCCGTTGCTAACACATCACGGAACATCCCCCAAGGGCAGCAGTCGGCTGTCTGCAGGATTTGCCGGCTCTCATCCAGGAGGCTGTGGATTCCGACCCGGACCTGGCTTCAGCGGAAGGAGCAGCAGTCCGAGCCGAAAGCTTAGAGTAGACGGAATGCACAAGGGAACATTCATGTGTCTGCGCAATGCTATTTTCGGGCGACTTCGCCAAGTGAGTCCTAAGCCTTAGCCCTGGACTGGTTTGTTTGCATCTTGTGCAGGCCCCTGGATGCACGGCTGTTGGCAGATTCCACCGATTGGAGCTAATTGATCCAACGGCGGATTCGGCTGTCTTCGGAGATGCCAACCTGAGCCGCTTTGCGGGACCACATGTTTTTTTAACAGCATGGTTAAACTCACGATTGTCTCAAGCGGCCTTGCCCATTCTGCTGACACCACTTGATTCATGTCTAAGGCTTTGCAGTGTTTCTCGGCAAACACAAGAGGTGTGCCCGTTGCGGGGGTCACGCAAGCCGTATGAGCAATGTGAGCTGACTTCGAGTCGCCAAAGCCAAAACAGCTGCGCCGAGGAACTTGGCGAGGCACCGAAAGGCAGCAGCGCAATCCTGCTATGTTGGTTTGCGCGAAGTGCATGCTCTCGCACCTTGTGTTGTGCGTGCCCTTCTGCTGTGTGGAGGGGTCCACGTGGGCGAGTTCTTTTCGTGCCAAAGCAACAGCGCATGTGGATTGCTTTGAATCCAAGACGTCCACAACAATATCTGACAACTCCTTCATTTCCAACCCACACTCTCCAGCTTGCATTGCAGGCTTGTGCACGCGTCCCTATTGTGGGGGCGGGACAAATTCATCAGAGCGGAAAGTCGCCGTGACAGCAGCAGGAGGAGGAGGGGTAGGGCCCCCCCCAGCCTCAAGCAGCTTAGGGTACGTGAGTCAGCAATTCTGCGCCCGCGCGATGATGTTGANNATGATGATGATGACGATGATCATGATTCCTTGCGCATTCTACAGTTTCTGCGGTTTAGAGAGTCGTTCTCCTGCATACCCTCACTGCTTCGCCACCATGATGAGTGCCTTTTCCTCCGTACTGTTACCTGCTCACCCAACGGTTTAATCGACAGCTGGTCCGTATGCGGGGGGGGGGGGGGGGGGGG